AAAAAGGAGGGGAGGGGAAAGAAAGAGCTACCCACAGTCACATCCTAGATCCCAAAGTCATTGACAAACAATTTCTAGTCACGTGTAACCAGTGGTACCAAAAAAACAACATTCCCAAACCCAGCGGCTGTAGCAGCAGGGAGTAAGCTTGCCGAAGACAGAGAGACAGAAATCAATGTTATCGCAACAGTGTTTCTTGCCAATCTACCCAGCCACGCACACCGAGAGAGAGCAACCAGGTAGGTCTGAACTCCACCCCGCTGACTACGTTTGGTTTTCTTTGGCGGCTTCAAGTTGGCTCCCCTTGGCGAGGCAGGGTACGAGACTCGCTGGGTCTACAGCCGGGGCCTGCCACCTTTGCTTGGCTGGCCCAGTGTGGCTTCTTGTGGTCGGGCTGGATGAAATGTGGAGCAAAGCAAGGCGCAAGTTGATCGGTACGGAAGGGGCTCTGTTACAATGTACGTCTACGCACGTAACAACCCAATTTGAAAAACAAATACTGTAATTGTTCTTTATTTCCAACCCCGTTGTGTGTACAAGAACTACAAATTATCTCTTTGTGCCTTTGTGCTTTCAATCCTCCAAAATCCTCCTGGCGGTTTTGGAGAATTTTGGAGGATAGATGGTGTTTGAGAAACAAGAGGATTTTGGAGGATCGAGGATGAATGGTGTGTTAGCACATGAGAATTTTGGAGGATTGAGGATGGTGTTTGAAAAGGAGGAGGATTTTGAAGGATTGAGGATGAATGCAATTTGAGAGGCAGGGCTGTCTGACAATTTTGAAGGATTGAGGCGCTGGGTAACCTTCATTTGAACATAATGTGAAAAATTTTGGAGGATTTTGGAGGATTGACGAAGGTTCCTAGCAAAAAGGCCCTTGGGGGTTAGGCTTGTCTTATAGAAGCACTGTTTCACCAAGAATAAAAAAAACCTGCATCTGGGTTTTGTCAATGTAATTAGCCTGTCGGTGACTTGAATTGTCATGATGTATGGATAAAACAGTTGAAAACATTAAAAACAAACACGTGCATGTGACACCTTTGTTAGTTTAATTGCAGCAAACATGCCTTTGTTTACAAATACTTTCCACCAAAACTCTCCCAAATTGAATATTTTTCAATAAAAATTCTCTTAAGAGATTCCTTGCACATTGTATTTGACTTCTTCAATGTTCAGTTTGCACCCGTGTACACCTTTAATTTTCATTTTTTTTTTCAACTTTTAGTCTACTTTAAAAAGTTGAAAATGACTCAGACAAGTCTACGTCCTTTCTAGTAACCCCCCAAAAATACAACTTTCTTAATCAACTCAACTCCTGCAGCGAGCTTACCGGTACAAGGTCTTATTCTTGAAACACAGAAGAGAGTTTATTTACAAAGTGCCTGGTTGGTCTGTGCTCGGCCTCTCTTCTTGTAACGGTACATTTAGTAAGGTGATACCATTGCAGGTAAGGGACACTTGGCAAACCGATCAGGTTAATTTACCAAACAAAACAAGAGGCTCTGAAGCTGGTAAACCGAAGGAAAATAAACACTCCAGGCAGATATTACACTGCAAATGCATGCGGTCTGAAAAAAACCAAACGACTGCATGCGACAATAACTGAAGTGGTGCTTTACTCTCTAAGCAGATCGTATGTGTGCACTCATGAGTTTACCTCTCGAGTTTGACGAATACAGTGTATTAAAAATGCATGCCCACCTCAAGTAAGAATACAAGTGCGGTACAGTACATGCACCAACTCAGGACTGTATACGTCTTGTATGAATTTGCCTCCCGTAGTTGAATTTTATTTGATTAAAAGTGAATAACTGCTGGAAACCCGAATCTTCCCAATACATACATGTACATGTACATGTACACGTACAGGGTGAGTAAAAAAAAAAAACCCGAAACCCAAATGTCGGGACTATTGTTTTATTGAAGTTCTGCATGTAGCACTTTCAAAATCTAGGACATGAAAGCCCAATTCATAAGCTTTCTTTTAGTACAAGAATCATTCAAATCACTCATGTACTTTTCAAGTTACGGAATTTTAAACACAACCACCGTTTTATAGTTCTGTCCACGGATCACAAAAAAAGGTGTGCGTTCTTTCAGCATAACGAAAACAATTCACACATAATATCCCTATGTGATTTGTCTTCGTTTTTGCTGAAAGAACACTGAACTGTTTTTGTGATCCGTGGACAGAACCTTAAAACGGTGGTTGTGTTTAAAATTTCGTAACTTGAAAAGTACATGAGTGATTTGAATGATTCTTGTACTAAAAGAAAGCTTATGAATTGGGCTTTCATGTCCTAGATTTTGAAAGTGCATGGTCCCAACATTTGGGTATCGTTTTTTTTTAATCGCCCTGCACACCATTTTGCAGGAATCCAAGGGCACAGTCTTTGTACAAGTACACGTACACATCTTGGGAATTTTGCACTGCAACAGGGCGTGACTTAACATGCAAAATAACAGCACATGCAGATTGGTGGAAACAAAAGAGCTCTTCCGAAAACTGTTAGTCGAGCGACGTACCGTACACGTGCAATCGATGGCACTAGTCGCTAACCGGTTGTCCGTACGGTTCAATTGAATCATGGCCACATCCAAATAGATGAATGCACTGATTTTAATCCTTCCAAGACCCAGTTTCTTTGCTGTCAAATTAACTGCTTTGTCCATGCGGTCAACATTTTACCCAACAACGCTTACAGTCTTGCTTGCAAGCTGCAGTGCCAGTACATGTACGTACGGAACCAGACATGCTTACGTAACATGCAAATGCACACACAATTCTGCTCAGGCCTGTAGGAAGCTAAAAAATATTGGTCAGGCTCATCTCAGGGCAGAGAGCTCAGTTGATACGAGCGCGCAGCGCGAAGCCCTAACGGCGTGGGGTTCGGGGCCCGCCTAAGGGCCCCAATAATTTTTGGATTCTAGACGCTCTGTGGTGCGATCTAAGGCAATTTCTGACCACTTTAACCTTTTTTGAGCTATCATCATTTAAACATCATTTTCAAGTTTGGAGTCAATCATCTTTTAAATTTTTTTTAGCGTAAGAAACTCCATGTCGGCGTTAAAGCATGAGAATAACCTGAAATATGTGTGTCTTACGCTCAATGCGTGAGAGTTGGCAGGCCTGCAGAGGCGGATCCAGGATTTGACCCAATCCCTCCCAAATTAAATGTAACCAAAAGCCACTCCCCATCCCAACACTATCAATATTTGTACAGAAATACATGTGCATGAATATAGGAATTTTATTCTTCGTAATTTCACTAATTTGTACAAGACACATTTTGGAGCACTGCACAACTGCAAGTTTAACCAGTAAATGTCACTTTATGAACTTTACATAAATCGTCAAAATTAAATCGTCAAAATTTGGCCTATCGTAGTGAAAAGTTTTGGACATTTGCTCCTCGCAAAACTTTTTTGGATTTAAATGCTCTGTAGTGCATCTGAGGCATTTCTTGGCCACTTTCCCCTGACTTTTTGAATGAAATGTATTTGTGTTTTAGTGGGTGGGTCATCAAATTTGATAAATTACATCACAAGCATCACATCAAAACTGTAGCTTGACTCTCTTTCTAGATGTCGCCATGCACTAAAGTGGAATTTGACCATGACTTTTAGTTTTCCTCAGACTTGTACTTGTGTTTTCTTAAAAAGAAGTGGTTTTTCTATAGCTGATAAAATAGCAAGAAAGAACCGGTTTTGTGCAAGCAAGATTCAGGGAATAATCCGTTGATATTAAATATCTTGTTGGAAAATTCCAAAATCATTTCAAAAAAATTGCAGCCGTGATCAGAGTTAATGAAGGGGAAGGAAAGTGGGATTTGCTATCAGCAACAACAAAGCCGTTCCTCATTCTTTACCTTTTATGGGATGTGAATCAAATTGGAGGACGAGAGGCTCTGCGGGCTGATGTATTTTTTAGATTTTTTTTTTTTGCAACCAGCTTGTAGGGAAGATTTCCGTTTATTTAAGACTTAATTCACCGGTATGGATACCAGTGTATCACTGTATGTACAATGATTGAGCTTCCGAGCGTATTTGTTAAGTTTTTTTCTCTTTCTAAGAAAAATACATCAGCTCCCAGAGTCTCTCGTTCTCCAATTGATTCACATCCCATAAGGTAAAGAATGACAAACGGCCTTGTTGATAGCAAATCCCACTTTCCGTCCCTTCATAAACTCTGATTCACAGCCGTAATTACTTTCTTTGAATGATTTTGGAATTTTCCAACAAGACATTAAATTCAACGGATTATTCCCTGAATTTTGCTTGCACAAAACCGGTTCTTCCTTGCTATTTTCTCATTTAGAAAACCACTTCTTTTTAAGAAAACACAAGTACAAGAAATTGCCTCAGATCGCACCGCAGAGCATCTAGAAACGAAAAACAAATTAAAAAAAATTGGGGGCCCTTTTATGACCCACTTTTTGGGGGACCAAATCCCCCCCCCCCCCCCCAAAAAAAATGTGATCTGGATCTGCCCTTGGGGCCGGCCATGCAAGGCATTGTATACATTTTTAAAAAATAGGCCTGTTATTATTGGTACGGCTATAGCCGTACCTGCCGTACCGCTTCCTACGGCCTTGATTCTGCTTGGAATTTCTGAGCAGATACGAAATTAGCAAGCGTCTTTTGTGGACTTTCCACCGCTAAGGGCATCTTGGAACCAAGACTACATGTAGTTCAACCCACGTGCCATGGTATGGTACATTGTACATGTACATGAGGGTGGCGACCAGATTGCCCTGATCTCTGCTGCAGAAAAGTGGACAGGGTTAATAATTGTGAAGTGCTTTGAAACCTACCCTTGGTGGAAAGCACTATTCACTGTATAAATTCCACTTACTATTATTATCAAATCCAGTGATGGTGGATTTATACGTTTTGTTAGACAGGCAGAGAAGGATTATAAGCTGTTTGAAATTTCACGACATATTTGGTTGTAAGGTCAATTTCTAATTGAGGACAAGATAGACTATGCATTTCCTCACCTGATGACACAGCCGAGAGCCGTAAAGTTCCGATGAATGGCCACGGAAATCTGAAATCTCTCTCCAATGGCTATGTCGGTCTTCGGCACGTACAGCCAGATGTTCTTGTCTTCCTTGACGGTAGTCAGTACTTCCTGATGCTGCTGGAACTGCACGTTGCCCAGACTACGCTCGGGGAACAGTGGTGGATCACTGGCGCCCGGCGAGCAGCTTGATGGGGAGTGCACGGAGTAGGATACGGTGAGCGTCTGAATGCTGGTGGATTCCTTATCCTGCCACCATGCTGGTGGTACGACAATCTGCGCTAAACAGGACAGGGACCGGCTTGATGGTGTACAACTAGCCGTTGCCTCTGATGCAGAGTACCGGGCTGTTGCGCGCAGACAAGGCAGTGTCCCAGGTCCACCTTGCCCCAGATGCTTTGGTTTCAACAGGAACAGGACCTGGATCCGTGAGCTGTGGGGCGAGATGAATTCCCGGGTGGCCAGCTCGGCCATGACATCGTAGCCCAGCGACTGGGAATCGTTGGCGTGCCGCTCCAGGCTGCTCTCCACAACGAACGGGCCGTAGCCGGCGCCCACCGCACCGGAGTGGGAACCAATGATGCCCACCATCTGGTCGGCGTAGAGCGTCCCCCGGCTGGGCTTGGGTCCGGACTGGAAGGCGCTGCTGGAGTTCCACGCCATTTTGGACAGGAGCACCGATTGGCTGTCGAGCGGGGTGAAACGCACCGGAAACTCGGCCCAGGGTTCGCTCTGGATGTCGCTGCGACGGAACTTGGCTTCTGTACCTGTATCAGAAAAGATTGAAAAACAGTTAACGTCAGGAGAACTGAAAGAGCAAGCATCTGTCTCGGTTATCATTAAAACATGCATGCATGATTAAGACTGATATAAGGGGAATTTTATTTACAAATAAGCCAATTTAGCAAGCAAGAATGACTTTCAGTTTTAATGTCTCAGTACAAACGTTTGTGATTTGTTTTAGTTTCTGCTCCACTTTTATAAAATGTTGGCTCAAGCCCAGTTCATCATTCACATGTAGGGCTTTTTCTTCCAAACTCACACTAATAACACTTTGCTTTCGTGTTTGACATTTGACAATAACTTAACATTCTCAATGTATCTAACAAATGCATCTTTAAATATTTTCTTTTTATTATTTAAAGAGTGCATGTACACAAAGGCCTACATGTCCATGCATGTATCTCACCAAACCGTAACATTCCAAATCTGTTCGCAAACTGTTCAGCATCATGTTTTAAAAGAAATCTGTCAGCTACATGAATCTTCTCAAAAAAAATCTGTCATCTATGGTCATTCAATCCAACACTATTACAAGTAACACCCCTTTTACAATTCTACCTGATCTTTTTCTACAACTCATCACATCCACTGACACAACACAAATGCATTTGAGCATCATCCATTTCTCTCTCTATACCGGTACCTCACTCTTTTTTTTCTCCTACGAAATGGACACGACCCTTGTCACTCGAAACCAAACGAGGGTCTCCGAACACCAATAGATCATTTTTCGGGGAGACTGCAATTTGCAATATTCAGCCCCAGCGCCGATTCTTCTAGTTCCTCGCCTACTGAAAGAAATCAAGAAAAGCCCCAATGGGACCAGGGGCACAATGGGCCTACCAGTCCCCAGTGAGTCTATTGAACTTGACGACTTTTGACCTGTGACCGGTCGTGGCCGTATTTCCTACTGGATGGACAGCAACCATGCAGGCTCTGTTATTGTCACTTGTCTCAGACTGTTTCTTACATTGGCCTCCACTCCCCGTTTCAATTATTAGGGTTTTTTTTTTCCCTTCAAAAGTTTAGGTCTGGCATTCTAGGGACTGTTTACAAGATGTAGCTGTCAGTTTGGGTTATTCCTGATTTCAGCAACAGAAGTTAGAACTTTTTAGGTCATCTCTTAACTAAGCCTGCTTACTTAAAGTATCACTGTACTCCGAGAGTTTGAGTATACATCAATAAAAAGCAAAAAAGCAAAAAAGCAAATCCTCAAAACTGTTCGGCTGTTTTTATTTTCTTGAGTGATTCTTGCCAAAAGTGGAACAATTACAATCCTAATTTGTAGTTTTTCAAGGAATTTGTCAAGTAATAATTTTAAAATTGAACAAAGAAATTAGTAGACGACTCTAGGAAACTTATTTTGGAAGACTTTGATCTTCTGTAATGTATGGTCATAAAATTTCTTTAGATAAGTTGTTTCTATAGGTGTTTATCTGTGGGATATCTGACGTAACTAGATAGCAGAAAAAGGGGGTTAGGCCACCAAAAAAAGGGCTCCGGTTTCCGGTATGCGCGCGCGTCGCCGTAGCCATGCGCGTCGGCAAAATTAAAAAGTTTTTTTTCAATGTAAGATGATGTCTCAAAACCACCAAACTCACTGGTTTGACTGGAATCCTGCTGCTGCACAATTTTAACATGTTTTTAGATGGGGTTACGATCGAGTAAGCTTTATCTGGGCTCCTATACATTTTGTACTAAATTTAGTCGGGCACCATTTGCAGTCGTCAACTGACATTTGAAGAAAAACAAAGTAAAAAGAAAGAAAGCTGTGTCGCCGCACCACTTCCGGGGAAAGCTCCATACCAGAAACCAAGACTTTTTTTGGCCCAATAACATGGCACAGAGAACAAACACCCAAATACATGTATACCGTACTTAGCTGAAATGCATTTTCTAATCTAACTTCTCTAACGAATTTCCATTACCACAGTTGCAAGATCAACTCCCCAAGCCCACCATGCAGCGCCCAGCTCTCGGCAATAATCAAATCACTCATAAATTTTTTTGACAACACATTCAACACCTGCCAAACTGCCATACATCTCCCCACATTACTGGTACCTAGGTATGCCGTAAAGAATCCATGTTATCTGCGACACATCTCTCACACTCGCCTAGTGTATACGCCGGTCGTAACATGGTGTTTACAAATTCCTCCTTACATCAACCGAAAAATTCAATATCTTGAAAAAGCGTGGCAACAACAGATTTACACACTTACATATTAAAAATCGGGACAAGTTTTTTAGAGAAAAAAAAACATTGCAGTATATCAAAAATATAGTGTATGCCCCAAGTTGTCTTTGTGTAAATAGATATCTACAGAAAACAGATACATTGATACTTTTGTGGGTATGCTGTGGCCCACTTACTCCCCATGGATGTTGAAAAACGGGGCCCCTTTGTTACATTTTTCCTGCAATAAATATTGGGGTGGGGTAAAATGATACAGGCCTGGTTGACAACACTGTGTAAACATGCACTCAGCAAGACATGTACACACATGAGCCTAGTGCTCTGTTTGCTAATACTATTACCAGGTTTAGGAGTTTGACTCATTCCTACAACATTCCTCTGCATGATGTTTGCAACATTTACTTTGTTCTTGGATTCAATTTGGTCAAACAAACATGTGCAATCATTGCAAAGGTTATCTTGTAGAACCAAATAATCCTAACAATCTTGTATTCTCAAGTATAATGTTTTCCACACACCTTGAGGGATAAAGAACAAACATTTTTTTCAAAAAGAGTGACATGCGATGTATCTTTTCTAGGTACTGGAACTGACTGTTCACATTACATCAATAATTGATGTAGACCCTGTACTACATGTGAAATTGTAAGGGAAAGGGGTATAAACATTATCATAATCTGTTCAGCCTTGACAACACAACAAGGTATTAAAGCTGATGTCTGTAAAAGTTACCACAAACTTTCAACTGATTTGGTTATTTCTGCAAGCTGATCAGTCACCAGGCAACACTAACATTTCTGTCTTCTCTTCACCCCCCCCCCCCCCCCCCAATAATGATGTGGACATTTTGAGAAACTTTGCCTTTACATTTATGTAACTCTGGGTTGAACCAATGTATACAGAGTTGTAAAAAAAAAACACCCCACAACCTGATACATGTACCGATACTTCGACAATTCAGAGGCCTTCAATAGTATTGATAATGATATGGATAGGAAATTTTGTTGGAAGGAAAATGATACCAAGAACTCCCGATTTGTTTTGATTTCAGTGCCATTTTGTGTGAACCAAAGTCAGGGGCTCCAATTAGGATTATACACAGTGAACAAAAGGATTACAAAAATAAATGAATCTTAACCCCTGACTTTTGTTCACAAAAATGGCACTGGAATCAAAACTACTGAACCAAATCGGGAGTTCTTGGTATCATATTCCTTCTAACAAAATTTCCTAGCCGCACATACCGGTATATCAATGATTTAGGTCTCTGAATATTGGAAGTATGAGGTTGCGTTGTTGTTTCATATGACCACCCTGTATATTTTGTTGATGCATAGTACCCCAATGCCAATCCTTCCCATGAAACTTAAAATAAAAATTGATCAACTTCTGTTCGTTTTTTGCACAGGTCTGCGAGTTTTCCCTTCACACTAACCCCAACCATGCTCACAAGAGGCACCCAATGATCTGACTAAAACCTGAGTGATGTATGAAGGTCAGGGGTCAAGTGTAAATCTTTGTTGTGCACTGGAGCGTGACAGGGTCAGTCATCGCTATGTGTCAGTTACTCCAGCAGGTACCTTATCGCTTCTCTTCAAAAGTATCACCACAGTAACCAAAAGGGTTTTCATTTGGTGTTGATCTGTGAAAACGACTTATGATGGTAAACCAGTCTTGCATACTGTACTTGACCATCAATGTCTTAGCAATTAAAGCTACATGTATAGTCCATCATTTGTAATTTGTGCATTTTGTTCATTTGAAGCAACAAAAGTGCTCAAGATCTAAAGAAGGGTGCTGAACAACTAACCTGATGAGGTTTCAGCTCAGCTTCAGCTGTATATTTCGAGAAAAAGAGCATTCTAGGATCTCAATTTCAAATCAAAAGTTGCTGAATCATGTTTTGAATTGGGCCTGAATTCAGCGTCCGAGACACGTTCTCTGAGCTGATTGCAGCTACGCGATGTCGCGCACTGATCCGACGAATTATAGCAACCGTGCGTGTGTGTGCATCGTGCCAATGCTTGCGCGCGCTAAGCTGAATAACAAAACAAAGTACTAATTTGAATTTCCTATGGTGCTTCTTAAGAAGCACCGTTGAAAAGGCCTTCTTTTGTTGATTTTTTTCAAAATGACAGCTTGCCAGAAAGAATAATTTCACAGGGAGTTTAGTCCCCTTACTATCTGTCAACCAAGTATGTTTTTCAACAATAATTACGCCAGTTACTTTTTGGATAGTTGCAAATGATGGACTCTGGCTTTAATATTCCAACCACTTGTATCACAGTTAAAGGGAGTAATTTGCTTTTGCTGTAATTTTCAGAAATGGATGGATTTGGGGGGTTAGTATTTTAAAGCAAAGCAAAGGTCAGGGGACCAGTGTAGCTGGCTTGTACCCGTTCATAAGTGTGTAATCGATTTGCGGACTAACTGAATATTGTAACGCTGGCCGGCCAACCAGCACTGAAAATTGATACAAAAATCACACCACTTTTCTTGAAAATGACAGCACACCAGGTGCCATGATTTACAGGATGTTTTAAAAGACTGTCATTCACTAACACTCCCCAGTCCAGCAAGTTTTTCATAATAATTTGGTAGTTTTGTTTTTTTACGTTTTGCAAATGTTGTATATATTCCCTGTAATGCTGTCCTTATCATCTTTGACAACCTCAAACATGTAAAAAATCTCTTCAGATGTTTCACAAACCCCCAAAAAGCTTACAAAAATAATAATAACATTCACAATGTACTGACTCTCTCTTTGCCCCAATTGCTTTCTGAA